ACCGGGTTTGGTTTTGTTGTCCAAATGGTATTTTTGATCGGTTATGGTAAGCAAAACCTTGGAATTTGCAGTGAAAAGCCACATGAAAAATACCTATAAATGCTTCTCTTCGGTGTTTGTGAAATGCTGGTGTTTTGAGCTTCTTTTCTTCTAAGGCACGCCGCTGTCTTTTCTGGTAGGAAAGTCGAATGTGTTTGTTATGCGAGAACAAAGCCTGTATTGTTGTGTGGCTGTTGCTAACACTGTCCTCTCTCTGCTGAGCCCCACAAGTACTGTCTCGAGTACTTGCATTTCATTTCATGCTGTCGGATGTAACTGACAGCAACAGACACTCCTTGCTAATGCCTTTTCTTGCTGCACTTCGCTTCTCTTCTTCCTTGCTTGGTTTGTTTTGTGGAGAGCTTGTTTGACCAGCACCAAGGTGTTATTGATGTAATGTCAATATAAAAGAGTTACCTCTGTCAGTCCACTCCCAAGCTGCTCTCCTTGCATGTGAGTTAAACCCCCTCCCTCAACTGAATTGCATGTTGCAGTAGTTCTGTTACTCTTAACTGTTTTGTGTTCGTGTTGTGTTGGAATTAAGACTTGGTCTCATCACTGGGCAGATCCTTAACAAAGGACTTCAGGTCTGTAACTTGGTGTCCTTCAGACTTTGGCTTTAAACAGCAGCTGCAAAGTGTGGAAGTGCAAATAAGCGATAAATGAAGGTTGATACCTGAAGGTATGAGTGAGTTCTGACCGTGACTTCTCTTGCAGATTGACAGGCAGCAGTTCGAAGAGACTGTCCGGACACTGAATAACCTCTATGCAGAAGCTGAAAAACTTGGGGGCCAATCCTACCTGGAAGGGTGTCTCGCCTGCCTGACTGCCTACACCATCTTCTTGTGCATGGAAACGCACTACGAAAAGGTGAGCTGCTTGCTTTGCCCTGGTAGGCAAAGGCAAAGTGTGAGTGAGTCCCGTGGGCTGCAGCCACACTTGTGTCTTGATGGGTTTTCTGTGACCTGCAGGAATTCCCCACAGGCTCTGGACCTCGTTGCAGTGTGATTTCATAGATACATCAGACTTAGTCAGTTTGAGTCATGTAATGATTGCTTGTACGTCAGGAATCCTGCAGGTCCTGTCTCGAGCTGTGTTAGGTTCCCCTAACGTTGGTGTTGCTGGGGCTCGGGCTCTGATGCAGGGAAACCCGCTGAAGGATCTGTGACTTCTGTGCTGCTCTGTTACCAGGTTCTAAAGAAAATTGCCAAGTTCATTCAGGAACAGAATGAGAAGATCTATGCTCCTCAGGGCCTCCTTCTGACAGACCCCATTGAAAGAGGACTAAGAGTTGTATCCTTCTGTGGTGGCTTCCATTGTCTCCTGGTTTGCCCGTCTACGACGTGCTTGATCTCAGTGTAGCACCCTCTGGTCATGCTTATCTGTGGCACAGCAGAATGGGTGATTAGTCTTGTTACTCTCCATCGTGTGCTATTCTCTGGTCAGGTTTTGGTACGTTAAGATTTGTTGCATCAAAAGACCTTTAAAACACAGTGTCCTTTGAGGCTGCCTTGAAAATGTATAAATGGAGGATAAAATTCCTCCATTTCAGTCACTTCTAAAAGGCAGTTTGTCAGATTGGGCCAAAAGTGGCCAACTTGGTAGGATAGAAACTGATGATGTGGAAGCAGGAGGTGGCTGTTGTTTAATTTGCAGCCCTGGACTCAGGTTCTGGTGCAGATTTTGCTGTGTGTTACCACCAGAAGTTGGTACCAGCCTGGCACGTGGTTCTGCTGTGGCTTCTTCCAGCCTTTTCAACTCTGGAACTACACTGCAGGCATTTTATCTACTTGTTACCTCAACAGTTGTAAAGATCCTCACGTAGCAAATCCAGGGGTAGAAAGAGGAACACCTACCATTGAGACTGGAGCAGTTTGAAACACAGCCTGCTGCTTAGATGCATGCTAAGGGCAATTCTTCATGGTTGGGTTATTGTGTATTTGTCTGAGTAGCTTATTGCTATCACCTGCATGACTTCATTATGCTCAAGATTTTCTGCACTGTTCTCTGCATAAACCTGGGAAAACACAAACCCCAAACCCATTCAACTTCAGTAAAAGCATTTTCCATTTAGTTAGTGACTTAAGTAGCTGGAGGTGGAAGTGTTTTGTCTAGTGCATGGCTTTTCCTGCAATTTAACAGAAGGTGGCAGGGCTCAAAACCCTTCTTGTGCAGCATCTTGTGTTCTTGTTGTCAGGACACGCTGACCTGACCTGGCATCTCTTGTGCGCTGTTCTGTTTGCTTTGTAGCTCTGCAATGAGCCTGGAAAGATCAAAGGTTCTAATATCTTATTCCCTCTTTTTGGTTATATTTTCCCAATCTTTTTACAGTATGTTTCCCTAACAGCTTCTGTGTGCAGATTGAAATTACCATTTATGAAGACAGAGGTATGACCAGCGGAAGATAAAACCGTGGAGTCTCAGGTACGTGTTAACCTTGTACTAGATCAATCTCGACCCATCTCAACCTGTTTTCTGTGCTCAGAGGGGTAGCTTGTGCCATACTGAGGCACCACGGTGTGTAATCAAAGGCTGTTCACTCAACTCTTGTGTGGACCAGCTTTTCTGAATGAGTAGAAATGTCAATACTTGGCATAATGCCACTGAATGTCAATGCAGATCAGACAACACCAGATTCACATTTAGGGACATTTGGGTCTTGATTGGGTAAATGTGCATAAACCTAACTTGTGCTCTAGTATGTCCAGCATTGTCCTCTGGTGGAAAGGATCTTTCTTAGTCTCATGAAGTCTTTCTGTCATTAGGTTCTGAGCAGACTAACTTAAGACAAATCTAGTCTTCAAAATAGGCCACTATTTAAATGCTTATTTTGGATTCCCAAGCAGTTTTTATACTAGAAGCATGAGAAACATTAGAGAAAAATCATTGATGGTGCTAAAATCAGCTCAAACCTGAGCTGGCTCCCAGATCCTAGGTGCTGTGCAGATCCTGGGGTGCTTGTCTCAGTCCAGGTTGTTGGCAGTGTGTGCAGAAAACAGACTGCACATATTTCTGCCTGTTATGCAGAAAGAAGTAAAGGGTTTATTTCCTGTTAGACAAATGGAATCCAGACCCTGCCTTTCCTGCCATTGCCTCCTAAGATAACAAAATACAGCCACGTAAAGGTTTGTGTAGGGGTTTGTTGGGTTTGGTTAGTAATGCTTCCTACTAATCTGAAACTTCTTTTCTAGCAGATAGCTCAACAGTGGACTTGCTGTATCAAAGTTCCCCTACCTCCTACTTTAGAGCATCATTCCTTTCTTTGCTGCCAGATCCACAGTGCCATCTACTACAAGGACTAACTTCCTAAAACTGCTCCACGTGAGGTGACCCAGCTGGTCAGCATCCATTTTGTGGCAAACTTTTAAGCAATGAGACAATGAGATCACTTTTTAGGTTTGGTTTTGTTTTTAGGGGGGGATGTCCCCCAGGAAAAAGCAGAAGTGGTAAAGCTGTGTACTCTTCTGAAAGAAACGGGGCTCTTTGCCCAGCAGCAGTCTAGTTTTAGTCACGTAAGTGCAGTGCTGTTCCTCCCTAGTTCTTAAACCCTTCTGTCCATCAGAAGCTCTGCAAAGCTGCAAGTTGGAGTTGGGAATTGTTCAGAAACGAGGCCCTCCCTCCAGTTCAGTGTTGGAGCGAGGGGACACACAGTGCCTCTGCCTGGCGAGAAGGGACTCAAGGCAACGAGCGTTTAACACTTCCCGTGCTGATTCTCGTGGCAAACCTGAAGGCAAAGTGTTCCTTGTTCCCGTGTTGCGGTTGTCCCTAGAAAGGGGAGGAATAGCTGGACTTGAATACTGGTGGTTTTTTACTCCTGTATCCATGCTGTTATTGCATCTGTCAGTGCTCGCCAGAAGAGGGGGTCTATCCATTCAGAAGCCAGTAAGTACATTAAAATGGATGCTGAACCAATAAACATAACGACACCTACCCTTACTCTGACTAATATGTGAAGTGTAAAACTGTTTCTTTATGGATTTATTATCTATAATTTATAAGGAAAACACTGATTTCACACGCCGTTAGATATTGTGTAAAATGGTTTCTTAATTCTGTCTGCTGGCACACACTATTGGAAAGTAGAACTGTGCATTAGTATCCCCCACGCATCGACATTCCTCAGCAATACCTGCCAAAGTAAAGTTCCTACAAACTGAGCTGGCTTCATCTATTTCTCTTGTATCCTTTTCCCTTCTCGAAGCAAGGATATGCAGGGTTTGAACGTCACTGTCCAGCTGTAGAAGGAATTCAAGGAGCTGGGAAAGCAGCATAGGAGCGCTCTGGCTGTCGGTGGCACTGCAGGTGCTAATTCTGGATCTGAAATTCCAGCTTCTTACTCAGCCACTGATTATTTTTTTTTCTTTTGATATTTAATATTTTAATTGTATAAAACTTGTTTTTTCTAAACTGTAACAGTGTTTGCCTTTCACATCTGTTGCGATATTGGCAGAAGGACTAATGGATTAGTAAATCTTTTCTTAAACCGTGTCTTGTGTCGTATGTGGTCGCACTGCTCTGCGGGAAGGAGCGGGCTCGGTTCCGGGGGCACCCGTTTCGTTCACTTCTGATACCGTTTTGTTTGCTTTTCATTCTGTTTTGTTCACTTTTGACACTGGTGTGTTGGCTTGTCATGTTTTCTTCACTTTTGACACAGTTATGTTCGCTTTTGACACCGTTTTGTTCACTTTTGACATCATTTTGTTCACTTTTGACGTTTGCTTTTGGTGCTCACTTGACAGAGTTTTGTTCACTTTTGACACTGGTTTGTTCACTTTTGATGCTTTGTTCACTTTTGATACCGTTTTCTTCACTTTTGACACTGGTTTGTTCGCTTTTGATGTTTTGTTCACTTTTGATACCGTTTTCTTCACTTTTGACACCGTTTTGTTTGCTTTTGATGTTTTGTTCACTTTTGATACCGTTTTCTTCACTTTTGACACCGTTTTGTTTGCTTTTGACGTTTACTTTTGGTGTTCACAGCGTCTTGTTCACTTTCGACACCGTTTCGTTCTCTTTTAACATAGTTTTTTCCTCTTTTGACACACTTTTGCTCGCTTTTGGTAATGCTTTTTTCGCTTGTGCCACGTTTGTTCCCTTTTGACACCGTTTTGTCCACTTTTGGGGCCGTTTTACTCGCTTTCGCCACCGCTTTGTTCGCTCCCCCTCACAGCGCCGGCTGCCGCCATCTTGTCACTGCGGGGC